AAGCAATAAAGAGCTTGTTTTTGTGCACATTTTCTACATTAAAAGGGGGTGAAGCCCGAGCGATCTCATTTAAGGTCGAGTGAATTAAATGAAAGCCTCTGAATATTTTTCATTAGGGATGTGAAGTGAATTTAATAACTTCAAATGAAATGCAGCTAAAGCTCTGGAGTTGTGGGGCTCGGCGTGTGAGACGAGGGAATAAGGGACGGGATGTTTTGCTGTTCGAGACTCGTGCACGGTCACGTCAGCTCTTATTTGCTGCTTTTGTTTAGTTTCTGCAGCTTCTGCCACAATGAAGGGTCAGTTTAACATTGTGCAACATCTCAACTTCAATAAATAGAGATGTAAAGTTGCAATGCAGCGTTCTTGTAGCTCGATTGCACAAACTGAAACGATGTGGAACTTCAATGCAAAGTTGAAAAAAAGTGCATATGTCATGTCAGAACCATATTAGTTATGTTTTATTTGGCCTATTTTAATATTTAGATCATCTAGCACTTACTTTAAAGGGATAGTGGTAGATTAGGCAGTGATTTAACCCTTTAAAAGCACTGTATGTTGAAGAGTGCTGTCCTTTTAAGAGCACATGTTGATTTTGTTGCTGTGTGCATGCATTCATTAAAACGATTATTGTGCATTTGTGTGCATAAAAATGAATTTAGCTAATTTCTTAAAAAAAGTACACCCTTAAGTCATAAAAATTGACAAATATATAAACAATTTTAGCATGAAAAGCTAAACAAAACAATATAAAAACTGAAATATTTTATTGATTTACTGACCATTAACCCATATTAATTATTGAAATATTAATGTAAAATCTAAGAGGAGCTTTAAGAAGATATTTTAGGTTGAAGGGTTACGACTGACAAAAAGTTTTGGAATCCCTGCTTTGTATTATAATGCCTAAAATTGACTTTCATTTAGTTTTTAGTGTTTTAGTGTGTGCTTTTCTTTTCTTTTCTGGTGTTAATTTATTTTCTTTTTAAACAAAGTATATATTTATCAGCTGATATCATCTGATGTCAGTGGACTGTTAGTGAGATCTGTGGCTTATTTTCATAGAGATGATTTTAGAGATTAACTGGTTCAATTTGGAATAGAATACTAGTGAACTAACCTTACTAGTTAGTGGTTCAACGGATCACAAATCTCACGGTTCGGATCACATTACGGTTTTTGACCCATCGGATCAGCAAGAAAAGAAAAATATTTCAATTTAACTTGCTTTCCATTTATTACTTAAAGCGAAGTACTTCTTTGATACCACAGCAAATACTACTAGATTAACTAAGAACGTTTAAACATGATTAAAGAGACAAGAGAACAGCCAGTAAAAATAAGAACAAATCGATAAATACAACAGAATATGTTACAAATAAGGTTGGTAGTATTCAAATACAGAAATGTAATAATTAGGGAAAATAACACTGCATAGTGTTCACTGTATAAATTAAATATAGATTTTAATCGCAGCTGTTTTGTTGTTTGATGATCATTAATGACAGCAGCCGTATTTATAGGCCGCTGTCCCTTTAAGACCTGATGCACAGGTCCGATATAATGATACACATCACATCCGATTTCTTTCTCAGCTGTTTTCATTCACTTGAGACATAACTGACTGCGTTTACCTGAATAATTGTTGAGATGCGTATTTGTCATAATTTTATGTGTATGTGTCTGTTCAGAGGATTCAGAGGAGGATTCAGTTCAGTGTTCGCGCACCGTCTGAAACGCGTGTGCGTGCGGCTGTGCGCGAAGAGAACAGCGCGCGAGCAACTAATCGAGTTCCCTTTCACCTTTTCTCTCTGGGATTGTTTAAAATTCGCTTGCTTGAGTAAATACGAACAAATGATAAACTTATACTCTATTATGGTTAAATTTTGCAATTAATCCGCGGATCACATGTGTGCCGAATCGCAGCTGTTTTGTTGTTTGATGATCATTAATGACAGCAGCCGTATTTATAGGCCGCTGTCCCTTTAAGACCTGATGCACAGGTCCGATATAATGATACACATCACATCCGATTTCTTTCTCAGCTGTTTTCATTCACTTGAGACATAACTGACTGCGTTTACCTGAATAATTGTTGAGATGCGTATTTGTCATAATTTTATGTGTATGTGTCTGTTCAGAGGATTCAGAGGAGGATTCAGTTCAGTGTTCGCGCACCGTCTGAAACGCGTGTGCGTGCGGCTGTGCGCGAAGAGAACAGCGCGCGAGCAACTAATCGAGTTCCCTTTCACCTTTTCTCTCTGGGATTGTTTAAAATTCGCTTGCTTGAGTAAATACGAACAAATGATAAACTTATACTCTATTATGGTTAAATTTTGCAATTAATCCGCGGATCACATGTGTGCCGAACCGTGGGGCTTGGTCCGTATGGATCACGGATCAACTACGATCCATTTAACCACTATTACTAGTGATATATATACAGTATATGTATATATAATTTAATCTCTAATCCCAAACAACATTAACAATATGGCTAATACTAATACAAAATCTAATGTTTGCGGCATGTGTTCATATGGAACCCCGTTTCCACCACTTAATAAAATAAAAAAAATGTAATGGCGACTTAACTCACAATTCAGACTTTTTGCATGATAGAAAATATTTTTTTCTCAAAATTGTGAGATATAAACTATTCCGTAAAACTATTCTAAACCATTAACAATTCTGACTTTTTCTCGCAATTGCAAGTTTGTATTTCGCAATTTTGAGGAAAAAAGTCGGAATTGTGAGATGAGTCGTAATTAAATTTTTTGTTTTTAATCCAGTGTTGTTTATACAGGTCTGTCAACTTCTGGTCATGTTTTTCATGTTAAAGTGCCCCTATTATGGGTTATGAAAGGTTCATATTTTGGTTTTGGGAGGCCCCAACAACAGGTTGACATGCATGCAAGGTAAAAAAGTATGTATTTATTTTATTTTATTTTATTTTGTATAATATGTATTTATTTTTATCTTATTTGCTCAAGGACTTCCAAATGATTCGCTCAACGATTAATTTTTCCAAACTCCTCCTTTACGTGACGCTAGTCTGCAGTGATTGGCCCGATTGGTCTCATTTTAAAGTCATCGTGCCTGTAATGCCGAGACAAGAGAACAGCCAGTAAAAATAAGAACAAATCGATAAATACAACAGAATATGTTACAAATAAGGTTGGTAGTATTCAAATACAGAAATGTAATAATTAGGGAAAATAACACTGCATAGTGTTCACTGTATAAATTAAATATAGATTTTAATCGCAGCTGTTTTGTTGTTTGATGATCATTAATGACAGCAGCCGTATTTATAGGCCGCTGTCCCTTTAAGACCTGATGCACAGGTCCGATATAATGATACACATCACATCCGATTTCTTTCTCAGCTGTTTTCATTCACTTGAGACATAACTGACTGCGTTTACCTGAATAATTGTTGAGATGCGTATTTGTCATAATTTTATGTGTATGTGTCTGTTCAGAGGATTCAGAGGAGGATTCAGTTCAGTGTTCGCGCACCGTCTGAAACGCGTGTGCGTGCGGCTGTGCGCGAAGAGAACAGCGCGCGAGCAACTAATCGAGTTCCCTTTCACCTTTTCTCTCTGGGATTGTTTAAAATTCGCTTGCTTGAGTAAATACGAACAAATGATAAACTTATACTCTATTATGGTTAAATTTTGCAATTAATCCGCGGATCACATGTGTGCCGAACCGTGGGGCTTGGTCCGTATGGATCACGGATCAACTACGATCCATTTAACCACTATTACTAGTGATATATATACAGTATATGTATATATAATTTAATCTCTAATCCCAAACAACATTAACAATATGGCTAATACTAATACAAAATCTAATGTTTGCGGCATGTGTTCATATGGAACCCCGTTTCCACCACTTAATAAAATAAAAAAAATGTAATGGCGACTTAACTCACAATTCAGACTTTTTGCATGATAGAAAATATTTTTTTCTCAAAATTGTGAGATATAAACTATTCCGTAAAACTATTCTAAACCATTAACAATTCTGACTTTTTCTCGCAATTGCAAGTTTGTATTTCGCAATTTTGAGGAAAAAAGTCGGAATTGTGAGATGAGTCGTAATTAAATTTTTTGTTTTTAATCCAGTGTTGTTTATACAGGTCTGTCAACTTCTGGTCATGTTTTTCATGTTAAAGTGCCCCTATTATGGGTTATGAAAGGTTCATATTTTGGTTTTGGGAGGCCCCAACAACAGGTTGACATGCATGCAAGGTAAAAAAGTATGTATTTATTTTATTTTATTTTATTTTGTATAATATGTATTTATTTTTATCTTATTTGCTCAAGGACTTCCAAATGATTCGCTCAACGATTAATTTTTCCAAACTCCTCCTTTACGTGACGCTAGTCTGCAGTGATTGGCCCGATTGGTCTCATTTTAAAGTCATCGTGCCTGTAATGCCTGATAAAGCAGCGTTTGTGAACGCAGTGCTGCTTTGTGTACAGCCGTTACCAGGGAAACTGCTATTTTACCACTCCAAAAGCGGCACCTAGTGGCAAAGAATGAATTTGCATTTTCATTCAGACCAACTCGAGAAGACCAACAAGTGGGCAGGCAATATGCTAATGTTTCATGTTGACGTCAACATGAAACGGCTTGGGATTAGTTTTAAAAACGACTCGTTTCAATGATTTAGGGTCGACTCTTTCTTTTGAGAGACAATAACTTCATACACGGTGCACTTTCAGATTTTAGACTTTGCAGGATGTTTTCATTCACTTAGAGCTGTGTTACACACTGCATGAAAGGTCATTTTTTAAAAATCCATAATAGGGGCACTTTAATAATTTAGCATGTTGCATTTCACAAGACATTGTCTAATTGTAAGGATATTCTTGTTTACTTTTGACTGATAAACAACTCTAGCGCTTTGATGGGACATCCAATGTAAAATCTGTTTTACATTGAGAACCAATTGAGAACTCCTGTATTGTGTGTTGTGTTTGCAGGCGGACTCAGAGGCGCTTCAATTGTGGATTCTCTGGACACGCTGTACATCATGGGTCTAATGGAGGAATATGAGGAAGCCAAGGAATGGGTCCAAAACAACCTGGACCTGAACTCGGTGAGCAAACACGGTTGGGTTGTTTCTCTGTGAATCAGCAGCTCTGAATTAGCTGTGAATCTCATGCTGTCTGAAGCACTTGTGTAAAAGCCCTCTATTGATCCCCGGAGCTGCGCCAGAATCAATTGTTTCTTTTAACCAACGTCCAGTCCTGGGAATTGAGACCGTTTTGGTCCAGATCAAACACTCGTGAGTGGATGAAAGGCCTCCGTTGTGGCTTTGTGTTGACTGGACTAGATCTTTCAGAGCATGTTCAGGACTTAATGAATGAGCTGGAGAGAAACATTTTGTGATATTACGAATCATCCTGTGATATTAGAGAGAGCGTTCACTCACTGATGGACAGCTCTGAGGGCAAACTGAGAATTGCAATGTAAAGATAAACTACATTAGATTTAATTTGATTATAACTAGAGCCTTTGCAAAAGTTACCGTCATGATGCCAGGATGTTGTCTTTAGTTGCTAGGATGTTGCTAAGTGGTTGATTAGAATATCTGAATGGTTGCTAGGTTACTAGGATGTTGTAGGTAGTGACTATGCCGTTGCTTAGGTGTTCTGAATGGTTGCTAGGGCATTGCTAGGATACAAGGATGTTGTGGGTAGTTGCTAGGCTGTTGCTTAGGTGTTCTGAATGGTTGCTAGGATGTTGTGGGTAGTTGCAATGTCATTGCTTATGTGTTCTTGGTGGTTGCTAGGATAAAAGGATGTTGTGGGTAGTTGCTAGACTGTTGCTTGGGTGTTCTGAATGGTTGCTTAGATGTTGCTAGGATACTAGGATGTTGTGGGTAGTTGCTATGCCATTGCTTATGTGTTCTTAATGCTAGCTAGAATACAAGGATATAGTGGGTATTTGCTAGGTTCTTGCTCAGATGTTCTGAAAGGTTGCTAGGGCGTTGCTTGGATACAGGAATGTTGTGGGTAGTTGCTAGGCTGTTGCTTGGGTGTTCTGAATGGTTGCTAGGGTGTTGTTAGGATACTAGGATATTGTGGTAGTTGCTAGGCTGTTGCATAGATGTTCTGAATGGTTGCTAGGGTGTTTCTAATATACTAGAATATTGTGGTTAGTTGTTTGGTTGTTGGCAAGGTTTGCTTAAAGGTCCCCTGAAATGCTTAGAAACACGCAGCGTTACTCTGTGTTGACGTCATTTTAACTGAAACAGGAAGACAGGGCGGGACATATCAAGCAACCCCGCCCCTTTAAAAAATAGCCAATAGCTTTTGTTTATATCACAGCTTGGGCTAGAGCCGTTCAGAGCCGTTGAGCTCCGTAAAGCTGCATTTGACAGGGTATGCCAGCCACAATCTCATCCATATTGCTTTAAAATATAGCGTTCTGTGTAGAATTCAAATAGTTCCAATACATTTTGTGGTCTGCGCCGACTCGCGCATGTGATCCGTTCCGTGCTATCGTTTCTCTGGGCCGGAGCAGAGTGTGTGTGCGGTGCGGTGGTTAGCATGACACAGCGTGAAACTAGGCTTCTTTTTTTCCTCAATGGAAAGAATATTTACACTGTTTGAATCGTTCTCTGTCCCCTATATAGTGCATTACGTGTCATTCACTGTACAGAAAAAGTGACCGATTTCAGCCACGGCTTCAGCGTCTATTTTATAGTGTAGGGGCACTATGGATTCTAGAGAGCATTTGATTGGACAAAGTTTGATAAGAAGCTGAAGTACGATATGACATTGAGCCATTTTGGCGGAAGTGACGAACTGTAAGTTTTGAATGCTTATATCTTCTAAATGCGAATTTTGTCACTGTTTTGGAGCACACTGCCTTATAGATAACCTTAAGACTAACGTATTGATACTAACACCCAAAAAACGTAAATTTTGATTCATGGGGACTTTAAGTGTTCTGAATGGTTGCTAGGGTGTTGCTAGGATACACAGATGTTGTGGGCAGTTGCTAGGCTGTTGCTAAGTGGTTTCTTAGAGGTTCTGAATGGTTGCTAGGATAATAGGATGTTGTGGTAGTTGCTAGGTTGTTGCTAAATGGTTGCTTAGAGGTTATGAATGGTTGCTATGGTGTTGCTAAGTTGTTGCTTAGGTGTTCTGAATGGTGGTTGCTAGGGCGTTGCTATGTGGTTGCTAAATGAAGCTTACTTGCAAATCTAAAAGAAACCCTAAAGTTCATATCAGTCAGTTCATAATATTTGTTAATGAAATTATTTTATTTTCAGTGAGTGGTTAAAATAAAGCTGGAATAGTTGGCTACGTTATAGAAATAGAAATAGGCCGTTGACATTGGGCGCTCGCTGTGTCAGAGAGGCTGATCTAGTTCAGTCGTAGCATTTGCACTTTTCTGCTTTGATGACGAGAAGTTTGAATTTCATCACTCTTGATATTGAGATTTGTGACAGTGTAAAATGGCTTGTTAAACCTGTCATCGCTCTTATTGCATTCTGATGCAAGGCGGCAAATTGCTTGGATCTTTCCTGAAGCTTTTTTGGCAGTTCATTAAAGGCACCAGTGCTGTTTTGAATGCCGTGTCAGTGGTGCGTGTGAACGATGCCTTCTGATTGGTCTTTTCTGAGTGTCTGTGAAAGTAAGTGTTCTTCTACCACAGCCCAAAAAAGACATAAAACATATACAATATAGATATTTCATTTAATTTAATTTCATGTTCATTCCTATAATTTACCCTATAATGGCTTTAGATTGTAGCTAAACATGAAGCAGCTTATAATATCTGGCCTATTTTGTAGTTGTGTTAAACTAATGAAATGTAACCTGTTGCTGGTCCTGCAGGACATTCATCACAGTCCTGCCATAGAGATCTAATTACTGCACAACTCTGTGTGTGTGTGTGTGTGTGTGTGTGTGTGTGTGTTAAAATGTGTGTGTGTGTGTGTGTGTGTGTGTGTGTGTGTGTGTGTGTGTGTGTGTGTGTGTGTGTGTGTGTGTGTGTGTGTGTGTGTGTGTGTGTGTGTGTGTGTAAGTGTGTAAAATTCAAAACAGGAAGAGGAATTTTCTGAATTGCAATTCAAAGAAATTCAATAGGAGTAAAGGTGTTTGATGGCGAGTTTGTCATGAAGACACAGTAGATTTACTCTGCACACTTTGTCATTGTGAGATCCAGCTTCATCCGTCACTCCCACAGCTTTCAATCAATCTCCTGCCGCAGTCTTCGCTCTTTAGCTGACAATTTGCTCACTGATGGAGAACAGAGCACTTCAGTGCGCGACCGTCATGCTCTATGACTGGGAAACCATGCCAGAGAGTCTCTAATCGCAGCAGAAGATGGCACTCGATGTGTCTGTATCAGTGAGGAAGAGACTTATAGTCAACAAATCAAAAGTGTAGAGCCGGGTCAATCAGTCGATGGGCACTGGACCTTAACTGTGACCGTTTGACGAACAGGTTAACTGAACAGGAGTTAGCGCCTCCTAGTGTCAGTTCAAAGTTTAATGACACATACGCCAATAGACGATAAACTATTTCTGTTTTCAGGGTTTTTTAGTGAATTCTGACAGAATATTGTGCACATTTATTAATTTGATTTGTTTGTTCATTTATTTATCTATCTGTACAGAAGGAAAGATTTGAACTAATTAATTTTTTGTGTGTTTGCTAAATGTTGACTGTGTGTGTGTATTTCTTTATTTATTTGTCTGTCTATCTTTATGGAGAAAAAATATGATATCAAATATGATTCAGATATTTTAATATGTTTAGTGAATTTTGACAGAATATTGTGCAAATGTATTTATTTGTTTGTTTATTAATGTATTCATTACAGAGGAAAATATTTTAACTAATTGCTTAAAATATTATAAAAATATTATTTAATAATATTTGGTATATATGTTTAGTGAATTATGCAGAATACTGTGAATTTAATTTCACTAAAATTGAATTAAAATTTAAGAAAAATGTAACTATTACTTTAAATATTATTTAAATATATCTATATATATAATATTGTCAAAACATTGTTTATTTATGTATTTTATTATTCATTGTTATTATTTTATTTATTCATATATCTTAGTAGAGAATATTTGAACAAACTACTTTAAATGTTATTCAAATAAGTAGTGATTTATACATAATATTTTGTACATTTAGTTTATTTATTTATCTATTTTGCAGAGACATTTTTAATCTAACTACTTTAAATATTATTTAGTGTATTTAGTGAATTTAGACAATGTTGTATATATTTATTTATCTATCTACCTTTGCAGAGAAACATATAACAACTTAAAACAATATTTAGTGAATTTAGACAGGCCTATAGTGTAAATTATTTAGTTTTTCATTTATTCATGTATTGTGGTGCTGAAACTGAAATGCAATTGACAAACTTCTTATTTGCTGAACTGATGTTGTGTCTTGTTTATGATGCAGGAAAATGCTAAAAACTTTGTTTTGAATGAATGAAGTTTATATTCACACTTCCCTCATCATGCATTAGAATCCCAGCAGAAATCCACACCTCAGCACTTCTTCTGTTTCTTCCTTCGCTCCTCCGCCGATACCAATCAGACTCTTAAGTGGCTCGTTACGTTTCTCCTGCTTCCCTGAGACGTTTGTAGCTCATAAATATGTATATGTGTGTAGAACTCAGTCTGCAGTCCAAGTGTGTGGTCAGATGTTTGATGGATCTGCGCAACGGGAATATCGGACGTTGGGAGGTGAAGAGGGGCGAGATTGAGGGCTGCGATCGGGTCAGACGAGAGGAAGAATGAAGGACTTTCCAGATCCAGCCAGTCAAATGTGATGCAGCACGGATCTTGTAGAACGACGGTGAGATTTGTCTTCCAAATAGCCGGCGTCCGTGAGCAGAATGACTGCTCGTGGGCTGGAATGAGCGATCGAGAGTTAATCCTAGCTTCAGCGTGAGGCCCAGCGGCCAGGATGCTGTCGAGAGCGTTTATCTTGAGGTCGGAGAATGAATTTATTCAGGGGAATGACTTGGTTTTTTTTGGAGTTGGAGCCAATGCAAACAGAGCCAGAATCCTAATGTCCGTGTTTATACTGCGGGATGGTAATC